GGATCTCCCTGTAGCCCCAGCTGTCCTGGAATTCACTATGTAGACCAGGCTGGCCTTGAACTCACAAAGATCTGCCTGCCTCTGCCTCCTAAGTGTTGGGATTAAAGGTGTGCGCTAGCACGCCCAGCAAGACTTGTTCTTTTTTAAAGCTGTAGTCTTGCCTTGTGAGGGAAGCTGACTTCCCAACCTGGTTGGGTGATGGGACAGGGCCAGCAGTGGCTCAGGCTTCAGGATAAGCAGGAATTGGGAGCTGGTAGGGTGCTGCTTGTTTGAAATGGGCTGCACTCTTCAAATGCTGAGGCTGAAAATAGGAGGGGGCCTAGAGCAAGCAGTGTGGCCCAAGTCCCCGGCCTAGAGGGTTGTCAGTGCTGGCTGAGGACCCACTACCTAAGGAAGGACAGGAAGTCCTTCTGACTAAGCTCTTGGCCACCTACTCTGCCCCTCAGGTCCCCGGCTGTCTGGAGGCCACAGCCTTCATGAAACATCCACAGTTCTGGTGGAGACTGTGACCAAGTCGTCCTCAAGCCGCGGCTCCAGCTACAGTTCCATCCCCAAGTTCTCCTCAGATGCTAGCAAGGTGGTGACAAGGGGCCCTGGTCTTTCCCAGGCCTTTGTGGGTCAGAAGAACTCCTTCACTGTGGACTGCAGCAAAGCAGGCATGTTCCAGAGGAAAGGAGGCTTTCCTGGGGAAGGAGGGGAGGGAGCAAGGAGCTATCAAGGAATTGGGTGTGAGCTGCTGGGGGACCCTGGTGTGAGTCACCCCTCTCTGTCTCCCTCTCCAGGCACCAACATGATGATGGTGGGTGTACACGGGCCCAAGACCCCCTGTGAAGAGGTGTATGTGAAGCACATGGGGAACCGGGTATACAACGTCACCTACACTGTCAAGGAGAAAGGAGACTACATCCTCATTGTCAAGTGGGGTGATGAAAGTGTCCCTGGAAGCCCTTTCAAGGTCAATGTGCCCTGAATCCCAGAAGTGCCTCCCCCAGCCTAGGCCCCCTCCTCCTACCAAACACTCACTCACACCCACACCCACAAATGTGCCACACCCAAATGCACACTCGAAGAATCCGATTCTACAAACACCTGCCTTAGGTGTGATGTGAGTGGCACAGCCTCCTGCCCTACTGTGCACCGGCGGTGTGAATGGCCTCTATCTGTCTCAGGGCAGCGTCCTTCCTCAAATGTGGCCCAAGGCCAGACAGGGGCCAGGCTCAGGAGCAGAGACTGTGATATAAGGGGCTAGACGGGGGTTGGGGGTCTGAGGATCATAGTGGGGCTGAAGCCAGTGGAGGAGCAATGAGTTGAGGGTATCTATATGTAAGAGGTCACCCTCACAAACCTCCCTGCCCAAAGACTCCATCAGGCCCCTCTGGTGGCCACAACCCCACAGTGTTAAGGACTTGGAAAAGCACAATCAGAAGAAACCAGATCCAGAATAAGCATCATGCGCCATGTGAACTGGCTCTGACCGATGTGCTCCATGCAAGCCAGGCTTCCTGGGAGACTAATTTCTCCTTGTTCCTTTTTTTTTTAAAAGTGGTTGCACAGCTCTGCCCCATAGGGGGTCTTTTTTACACATTGCGAGGCCCAGCTTTCTGGGGGGACTTTTGCACTTGTGGAAAACTCCAAATAAACTGCGGCTGTCGCAGAGGCGTGGTTCTTCTTTGTGGTGTGTGTGCTTGACAACGGCTGTCTCCTGGCTTGCTGACGCTAAATGAAGGGGTGGGGCAGAGGGAAGTGGGGGACCACATAGAGCTGGGATGGCTGTCCCCTGAAGGCCTGACCGGAGCTGAGGGCAGGAGCTTGGGGCAGACATGAGGTCTGCGAAAGCCTAAAAGAGGTCCAAGTAGAGACTTAGTCCTCCACTAGCTAGAAGGTTGATGGATAGCAAATGGGAGTGAACACTCTTCTAGAAGACGGTCCTAAGGACTACTGGAAGGCCAGTTATGTTCAGCCTGACCTGGAGGATGTTCTTTAAATTAGGTTCTTAGAACTATGACCCCTGGCTCAAGCAGAAATGCTCATTACCCAGCAGGGACCAAGTAAGAGCCCCAAACCTCTACTCCAGAGCCTAGGTCAAAGTAGGCCAGCTATACCCCCACCTCCAGCCTTGACCCTGCTCAGGTCTCCTGGACTCCACACCAGCTTCTGAACTAATCTGGCCCTGACCTGCTCCCTCTAATCTGTCCTCCATGCTGCATGCAGCTGGAGGCAGTCCCATTAAATAAGGCAGGGCCCTGTGGCTCCCTCCCACTGCAGGAGATCATCTACTCAAAGATCTCCTAAATTCAGAAATTCAGATACCTGTCTCCGTGCCATGTAGGTTGGGCAACATACCCAATAACCACTTGCACTGTGCACCTGAGCCCCCTTCATGGCCTCTGGTTTTCTGGGTACTTATGCTGTAATTGGGCCTTACCTACCAATACCTTGCCTTTCTGACCCACAGGAAGCTTTCTTGAACCTCTTCTGGCCTTCCCTGAGTCAGTGCTACCAGCTTCCACTCTGCCCTGGGGCACACTTCTGCCTCTGGTTACTACCCTGGTTTGTGACCAGGTATCCACTGTCTCCCCCACCCAGAGTTCTATACAGGCATGGATGATATGTGAATGAGCAACTGAGTTGCAGAGCAGGGCAAAGACTCACTTCACTACATGGATCTCACAATGGCAGACCCATCCCCAGGCACTTGGTGGTGGCACTGTCAGAGAAGACCCAGGACACATGTGACCCCAGCCCCTAACCCTGTGCCTCTTCACTTCATTCAATGGCCTGCCCACTTTCACTCTTTTTAAGATTCTTCTTTCCCTTCCTGTCCTAGCAGTGAGGCAGGATAGAAAGACAGGGGAAATTAAGAAGACATGTGAAGGGAAAGGAGCCTCCTTACTCCAGAGTCTGGTTGAAGTCTGAGAGTCAAGAATTCTAGCACAATTAACATTTGCTGGGAAGGTTGCTGGCAGAATATTCCTTTTATATAAAACTACTTCAAATAGAACCTCCTTACTCCAGAGTCTGGTTGAAGTCTGAGAGTCAAGAATTCCAGCACAATTAACATTTGCTGGGAGGTTGCTGACAGAATATTCCTTTTATATAGAGCTACTTGAAATAAAAATGCTAAAATAGCAGTGACCCATGCTTAAGGCCTAAGCATATATGTTTTTCCCCATTTCCCAACTGTAAACCTGAAATTTTGTGGGACTCTCACAAAAGCACCTTAACTTCCCATGCATCCCTTGTGACCTAGGCTATATATATATATATATATATATTTAGACAGAGTCTTCCTGTAGACCCAGCTGACTTGGAACTAACTACGTAGATCAGGCTATGCATTTAAGTTCCTTAGCAATCCTTTGAGATGTCATTTAAGAAGTTACCAAAATAAATAGTACATACATTTTTAAAATATTTTATTTTAAAAATATCTTACTAATTATTTTTATTTTATGTGTATGTGTGTATTGCCTGCATGTAGGTAAGTGCGCCCGCGTTGTGCAATGCCCTCGGAGGACAGAAGAGGCTGTCGGATCCCCTGGGACTGAGTTATTGACAGTTGTTAGCGGCCATGTGGGTGCTGGGATTCAAACCCGGGTCTTCTGCAAGAACAGCCAGTGTTCTTAACCGCTGAGCTATCTCTCCAGCCCCAGTACATGCATATTGTAAAGATACTTAATCTTCTCTCTCTCTTGAGAAGCCCACACCTAAGCTGAGTGTGGTGGTGCACACCTTTAGTCCCAGCACTCGGGAGGTAGAGGCAGGTGGAACTCTGTGAATTCAAGGCCAGGCTGATCTACAAAGTGAGTTCCAGGCCAGCTGGAGCTACAGGGAGACCCTGTCTCAAAAAGACCAAAAAAAAGAAGCCCACACCTACACTTGAGGGTGTACTAGCCTTTCCCTGGGCACCCCTCTGTTAACTCCCTTGTTAAATCTATGTTAATCTATTTAATATGTTACAAGACTGCTTCAGATGGGCTCCTCTTGAAATTCTTTTCTGCAGTGAAGTCAGGAATCTTAGCTTCACCTAAGAAGTCTGTGAAAAAACTCAAACTGATGCAGATGACAGTGTAGGACTATGTACCCTGCTCCTGCCACACCATGGCAGATACCTTCCTCTCTCCTCCCTCTGGGTCTGCCCCCAAGACCCTTCCAGAACTTCATTCTATTGTATGCTTGCTCCTCCCACTGAAATTTCTCACTTTCTCCTCAGTCCCACAGGGAGCCCCTGAGAACAGAAATCCCATCCTATCCATCTTATATCCTCAGCTCCTAACTGTGGGTACATCTGATAAATAAATGGTGGTTGAATGAGGGAGTAGTGACAAACATGGCACTGTCCCAGACAAACTCATTAAGGGTAGATTCCCTTTTTTTTTGAAACAGGGTCACCCTGTAGCCCCAACAGGCCTGGATTAGCTATGTAGAAGACCAGGCTGGCTTCAATCTCACAGAAATTTACCTGCCTCAGCTTCCAGAGCACTGGGATTAAAGTCGTACAACACCAAACTCAGCCCTAGATTCATTCTCTTAAACACCTAACTCCTTAGTGGTTGTCCTCAGACTTTGACACGTGTCGTAATGCGTATGTGTGTGTACACACACACACACACACACACACACACACACACACAAATGTACCAAAACAAAAAACCCACTGCTCTGGGTGTGGCGGCGGGCACTGGGGAGGGAGAGGCAGTAGGATCAGAAGTTCAAGGTCATCCTCTCATTGCAAGTTTCAGGGCAATCTGGACTATATGAGGCCCTGTCTCAAAAGCTAAAAACCAAAAATAACATTACACGCACAAATAAGTGCCTTCCCTGAAGCACTCAATTAAAAAAAAAACTTTCAAAGAAGGAATGCCAGTGAGAGGCCTGTGCCGCACAGCTTTCTGGGAGTTGTAGTTCCGCGGTTCCAGCCTCTCTTTATGGCACAGTGTTCAGATAGAGGCTACGTTCCTACTAATGCGCATGTTCAGACGCGGCGTAACTGCGCATGTCTGAAGGGCGGGGGCGAGCTTCGGGGGCGGGGTATCGTTGAGTTCAGGTGCTTCGGGAGCGCTCGCCTTGACCGCTGGCATGGCGGGGAGGGGTAAACTAATCGCGGTGATTGGGGACGAGGACACGGTGACTGGTTTCCTGCTGGGCGGCATAGGGGAGCTTAACAAGAACCGCCACCCTAATTTCTTGGTGGTGGAGAAGGATACCACCATCAATGAGATCGAAGATACTTTCAGGTACGGTAGCCTGCGAGGCCTAAGTTGTGAGCACCGTGAGAGGAGGTGACCTGTTAACCTGGATGTCAGGCCCGGCTGGGGCTGGGGCGAGCCTGGAAGACCGTCAGCCCATAAGATGCAGAGGCCTCCGCGCCTTAAATTCCTTTTGGGGGGCCCAGTGGGTCTCAGACTATGTCAGGTCCTCGTGCTCCCGGTCACATGATCGTGTGTCAGGCTAGAAGGGGAACAGAGCTTGCGATCTGCTCCTCCGGTAATTGGATGTCTGGAGCCTACTGTCGGTGTAGACAGCCAGGCCCAGCTTCTCTTCCGGAGTCTCTGACGCTCACCTCTAGAGCAGTCTCTGGGCCTTGCAAGCACTCACTCTTCGGCTAGTCGCACTCTAAAGGAACCGCACACCCAGTGTGAGTCTAGGCAGTGGCTAGTGTGCGTGTGTGTGTGTGTGTGTGTGTGTGTGTGTGTGTGTGTGTGTTCCATTTCTCTTAGAAGCTCATAACTGTCCTGTGAGGTAGTGGTTATTCCCACTTACTGGTGAGAAAACTAAACCCCAGATAGGTTAAGGCACAGGCCCAAAGGCACACCATCCATAAAAGACAGAACTGGGACTTGAACCAAAGCCAACTTTCTGTCTCTCTCTCTTAAAAAAAAGGTGGGGGGGGCTGCAGAGATGGCTCAGCGGTTTAGAGCACTGACTGCTCTTGCAGAAGAACCCAGGTTCAATTCCCAGCACCCACATGGTGGTTAACAACCATCTGTAGTTCCAGTTCCAGAGGATCTGACAGACGCCTTCTCTTGACCTCCTTGGGCATTGCATGACAGGGGTGCACTTACACACATGCAGGCAATACACTCATACACATAATATTTTTTGAAAAAGTTGTTTTTGTGTGCAGGTGGGTTCTTTTTGTCACTGTGCACATGTGGAGGTTAAAGGACAACTTTGGCCTTGGAATTTCCCTTTGACTTGAGCACTTTGAGCAAAACATCTGGAAAGTCTGACCTTCTACAAAGACTTTATATTTCAAGGCCTTGCTTCCAGCCCTGGGTCAAGGATGATAGCTTCAAAGAGTAGTGCATAGATAAATGATGATAGATAGATAGATAGATAGATAGATAGATAGATAGATGAGAGAGAGAGAGAATTTTTTTTTTTAATTCAGGAAGTGCCTTGGCGACTAGAATTGAGGATACCAACCCCTTATTTCCCTCACCCCTTTTCTGGGGCTCCTGCACCAACTCTCAGTAATAAACTGCTCTCACCTGGTGTCCGTAAACAGCCCAGTCCAGAGATGCTGGCTGAGACTGGTTCCTACTGCCTGGGCTATGCCTGGACCTGGGAGGCTGCTATTAGCTGATCTCTAAGCACTCTGGGAAAGTGACCTCAGTTGTCACTGGAGGAGAGGTTTCTAAGAATTCTCCGTTTCCAATCAAAGGGGGTCACAGAACGCATCACGTCTAATTTATCCCAGCTCCTGGCACAGAGTATGTGCCCAGTAAATCATTTTTAATGAATGGCTAAATGAATGGGAGAGGATCACATGAGAGGAGGGCCATAGTAACAGGTTCTGTCTGTGGAAATTGTGATTCCTTTTTCCCTTGTTATTTCCTCTTTCCCTCTTGTGTCCTTGGCTCAGGGCAAACGTGCCCCCTAACCTATCCCATGCCCTCACCAACCTCAACCTTGAGGCCTCCAGTGGTCTCCTCAACCCTGTATTTAAAAAATTTAATGCCAGGTGTGGTGGCGCACGCCTTTAATCCCAGCATTCAGGAGTCAGAAGCAGGCGGATCTCTGAGATTGAGGCCAGCCTGGTCTATAGAGTGAGTTCTGGGGCTACAAAAAAACAATTATTAATAGGGGCTAGAGAGATGGCTAAGTGGTTAAGAGCACTAATTGCTCTTGCAGAGGACCCCTGTTCAGTTTCCTGCCCCAACATTTGCCGTGGCTCACAACCATCCATAACTCCAGTTCCAGGGGGATCCAATGCCCTCTTCTGGCCTCCACAGGCACTGCATGACACAGGTACACTTAAATACAGGCAAAACACTCTTACACGTAAAATAAAAATTTTTTTAATTAGTAATACTCAAAAGGTATATATTAAAGGCTCTGTCTTCCAGCTCATCTTTGCACCTTGTCTCCTATCCCCCCGACCCCCCAATAACAAGGAAGATATTTTGGGATTTTTTTTTTTTTTTTTGGTCTTTTTGAGACAAGGTCCCCCTGTAGCCCCAGCTTTCCTGGAACTCACTATGTAGACCAGGCTGGCCTTGAACTCACAGAGATCCGCCTGCCTTTGCCTCCTGAGTGCTGGGATTAAAGGTATGCACCACCACGCCCAGCCCGGGAATTTTTTTTTTTTTTTTTTAAGACAGAATCTCCTTTAGCAAGCTATGTAGACCAGGTTGGCCTCAATATCAGAGATCCATCTGCCTCTGCCTCCTACAATCTTATGCAGATACAAAGGATCCCATGCATATTTCTCCTTCCCCTTTCCTACACAGAGGCACCTTATAGAGTACACTGAACACAAATCCTGGTCTTCATTACCAGTTCCCTCCACCAGCTGGTGTGTGGACGCCAGCCCTGATCATTATGGCCCTGAGTTCTTGAATGCAATTGCTTCATCCAAGAAGGCTAAGTTTGAGTGTTTAGTGTAGTCACCTTTCCCCTTGTGCCCCCAGGTAACTGTCATTCTCCTCCCTCAATAGGCAGTTTCTAAACCGAGATGACATTGGCATCATTCTCATCAACCAGTACATTGCAGAGATGGTACGGCATGCCCTGGACGCCCACTAACGCTCCATTCCGGCTGTCCTGGAGATCCCATCCAAGGAGCATCCCTACGACGCAGCCAAAGACTCCATCCTGCGCAGGGCCAAGGGCATGTTCACTGCTGAAGATCTGCGCTAGAGATCCCGGCCCTCTGCCCCTCTCTTGATGCCTGGCCTCCCCAGCTTGCTATCCTCTTTAAATTTCAAACCTCTGGTTTCCACCCCCCGCCCCCCCAATCACTGAGAGGCTGGGTGAGGTGCTTCTAAGGCTGCTGGGGCTGTGCCATTCAAATCCAGGCTGGTTAGGGAACAGGAAGCCCAAGCATCTTCTCTCTCCACTACCTCTTCCCTATGCTGTTACACAGTGTCATTGTCGATATTAAATTAAAAGAATAGTTTTCTCTCCAAATGGATGGTGCTGGAACAGATACATGAAGGGTACGGTATTGGGGGATGCTACATCCTGAGTGGCCGGGTAGTGGTGGACACAAAGAGGGATGGTGCAGCATCTAATAAAATATTACACACAAGACAATTTAATATTAAAGAAAGTTGGGGGACCAGGAGACGCCTTGTTCTGTAGAGCAAAGAACACTAAGTCTCTAACTTCCAAGGTTTTATTCACAGGTATGGGGTGATCCAAGCAGCTATTCAGGAACAAAGGGTAGGCAGATCAAAGGACATGTCTACTGGAGCTCAGAAAACAATTAGCAACAAAGTATGGTCTATGTACAAGGTACAGAGCAAATGTTAATACAACAGTGTAAATAAAACAGTTTTTTTTTTTTTTAAATCTAAACATAAGGGACATTGCAAGTCAGAACTATATATGCCTCTCTGGCTCTGCCATCACAGACACTCTTGGCTACTGGTGACTGCACATGTAGTCAAGCATGGTTTCTGCAGAGTTCAAACAGGGCAGTTGTCTCCAACAGGGCGATGCTAGATTGGCAGGGATGGAAATGGTTCTACCAAAGAGCTAGGTTAAAAAAAGCTGAGCCAGGAGGCCCAACTCAAGAACTCTGTCATCTGGATCAGAGGACCAGCTTTACCGGTGGAAGACAAAATTTGTGCCTCCACCTCTGCATGGGCTGGAAGGGGCCTTGCCCAAGAGACAGAAGCGGATTTCACAGGAATATAGTTCTAGATGGAACCTTAGGCCTATAGGTTTGGTGATCAGGCGTTTAGTTAATGGGCCCACACACACCCTAGGTTACCTCAGAAAGGGTGACATGGGAGGTCTGCTGAGGGCAATCTCTGGCCCTGTGTGAGGTGAGGCTTGGTTGCTGGGTGACTGTCCCAGAGCAGGCACCCTGTGTCTGCCTGCTGTGCTCAGTCAGCTATAGCTACCCTGGTACTGCTCTTTCCCTTGCCATTATGGCAAGGCAACTAACCATGGACACAGTGCGGCAAAACTTCTGGAAGGAGGAATATCTAAGGGAGAAGATGTTGCGCTGTGAATGGCACTGCAAGTTCGGAACTCTAGTGAAGGCCAAGCAGAAGGCTAAAGCTGCAGCCCATCTGCCCTCCAAACTGCCCATCCTGCTCCCCAAGGCCCCAGTCTCACCACCACCACTTGTCTCCAAATCAGCCCCTAAGGTCCCCAGTCCTACCCCGGAGGCTTCTTTTCAGTCAGAAATGTATCCAGTCCTGCCTGCTACCCGAGCCCTACTGTATGAAGGCATCTCATGATTTGTAGGGGCGCTACCTCTACCTCAACACCCGAAAACTGGACCTGCCAGAGACACGCTACCTGTTCCCCACCACCACCAACTTCACATATGGCTGGCAGCTAGGTGAGCCCCAACCTCCTGTAAATCTATTACCTCACAAATATGTAGCACCTGCCATGTGCTGAAGGGCTGACGTTCTAGGGGAAGGCCGTGTAAACAGAACAAAGAAACTAGTCTATGAGGGACTAGTCCTGTTAACTAAAGGGCGATGGTAGACAGGGAGGCAGGGACGCAAGCTTCAGAGGAAAGGCCTTTCTGAGGCTTTAATAAGGCTGAGGGCTAAATGATGGGAGAGAGGTTGGATTTTATCCTAATTTGAGGGGAAGGCAGTGGGGTGGGGTGTTAAGCAGGTGAGAAATCAGTGGCTATGCCCAGATATTTTGTTGTGGCTACTGGGAAGCTTTGAAGAGGAAAGGGCTGTGTTGGCCATGGTAGGCTCAAGGTGTCACTGAGGCAGGTGTGTGTGTGTGTGTGTGTGTGTGTGTGTGTGTGTGTGTGTGTGTGTATGTGTGATGTATAGCCTTCAAGGGCAGGGTCAGAAGCAGTCATTGAGTTTAAGTACTATTGAAAGAGAGATTAGGTTCTGGGGAGCCTGAATTATTGGAATTGACATGAGAGGAGTGGGAAGGCAGGCCAGAGACTATAGGGATGATGATGGCAGGAAGTCAGTGTGTTTTCTCTGAGGTTTAGGGAAGGTTAGCTGGAAGGAAGACCACTGAAGACAGCTCAGTGGAGTTTTCAATGAAGAGAGAAGGTGTGGGGAAAACACTGTGAGTGTTGGGTTGCTGGGGATCCTAAGGATTCTCTTCCTACCTCTGTCATGAATTTCAAGGGAGACCAGGCACTCAGTCATGTGTCCAACTGCTTGAATGCCTGTGCAGAAAAGGTGGGTAGTTGGGGATCAACACAGTTCCCTCATTTTTCCCTAAGAGGAAAGTAGGAGTAACTGTCCAACAAAAACAAGAGGCAAGCCCCAGAAAGGGGATGGAGGCCATGTCTCCACAGTCTATCCCCAGCATGGCTAGAGGCACTGTCTGACCTGGTGGTTCTGGGGAGAGAGTGGCCTGTCACCCAGATCCCAGGGAAAGAGCCTTGGTAGAGGATCTTGAAGCTGGGTGACTGTGGCAGACAGCTGTGGGCCATGCTATCATCAACTGCTGCATCCAGGTGTCCAGCACCCAAATGTATTTTCCTGTATCCCCCACTCCTCAGAAGCCCTTTTTATTTATTCACATAAAGTAAATACAACTTGTGCAGAGTCTTAGGGCTGGTGGGGTGGGGGTTGTGCACTGAGTCCTTTTCCCAGAAACCCATACCTGGCATCTGACATCTTTTCCCAGGCCCTCCAACAAAGCACAAACTGGTCTCCTGCAAGATGTGCCGAACTGAGTCATTTTTCCATAAGAATGGGGCCTTCGCACTACTGGACCCCGGAGACCTGGCCCTCTGACCTTGGGCCAAGTAGTGATTCAGGGCAGCAGGAAAGGAATAATAGGACTCCCGGTGGAGCCAAGCTGCTGCTGCTGTGTGTGTGTTTGTGTCTCTGCCCTCCTGATGCTGCACTCCGAACTTTTTCTTTTCTTTCTAGAGGCAAACTTTTTTTTGGTCTTTTTGAGACAGGGTCTATCCGTAGCCCCAGCTGTCCTGGAACTCACTATGTAGACCAGGCTGGCCTTGAACTCAGAGATCCACCTGCCTCTGCCTCCCGAGTGCTGGGATTAAAGGCGTGCACTACCACGCCGGCTTCTTTTTCTTTCTTTTTTTTTTTTATGAGAAATTTTATTGATTCAAGAATTTCATACAATTAATTTTAATTATATTCTGATCTTCTCCCCCATTTCCACCATCCCCAACTTCATGTCTTCTATTAGCAAATGAAAAACCCCATCCATCTTACATAGCACCTCTGAGCTGGATTCGGAGAGAGCGTATCTCAGGGTAGCAGTGATCTGTATTTCCCACACAGGTGTGCCAAAGGGCCCAGTCCCTTTCCTTTGTACGTGGTTTTGGGTGTATTTTGACTCCCGGTCTTTCTGAAAATACCCTCCACTTGGAGGTCATTCTCTAGCTTTTTCCTTAACTCTCTCATCTCCGCATCTCCATGGGGACCCAGCAAGGACGGGGGTCGGGGGTGGGGGGAACGGTGCTATTATTCTCCAGTTGTAGGCTCTTCAGCGCCAGGGGAAAGCAGCTCCTGGAAGTTCTGAGTGTTCCTGGGGAGAGAGGACTTGTCACTCAGATGCCAGGGAAAAGGAACCCTATCACTCCGTGTCCGCAGCTCACCTGGCCCTAAGGGCCCGCAGCCATTGGGTCTTCTCTCGCTGCCTTTGTTCCAGCTGTTCCCGAAGCGCGCGTCGCAGCCGGGCCGCGTCCTTCTGGGCACGCCAAGCGCTGAGCGTGCAGTACAGCCAGCAAGAGACCACCCCGCCGCCCGTCCCGCCGCCCGTCCCGCCCGAGCAGCTTCCTGGGGTCCCGCCTTCTCCCGGTTCTTGCCTGTGGCGGAAGCTGAGCCGCGCTAGGAGGGATCGCGAGTGGGTGAACCCGGCGGTGGCGGTTCCCGACGATGCGGAGTCGTTCCAGGACCTGGGGAGGCGGCGGTCAGACCAGCTGCGCCTCTGCAGTGCGCCCGCGCCCACGCCCACGCCCACGCCGGCTTGTAGGCCAACCCGACCCTGTGCGCACCCGCAGCTGCTGCTGCTCTCAGTCCTGTTGCCGCCGCTGCCTGGCCGAGCGGTGCTGCTCCAGCAGCCGCTGCAGAACCATCTCCTGATGCTCCGCGCTCACCCGCACCCCCTCCCCGCTCCCGGGCACAGGCCATGCGGCCTTGGAAGGCTTGGGGTCCCCAGGGCCTGGGAGCCTCATTTCTTCTGCCTCAGCGGAGCTGGGGCTTCCTCCCAGGGAAGCTGCAGGGAGATCGTGCGGCCGGTGGGCCAGCGTCCCGCCTCCTGCGAGCATCCTCACAGGGAGAGGAGCCCATGCATCTTCCCCGGAGGCCTCCAGCTTTGTCACAGCCGCAGATTCCTGTATGAACTGGGTGCTGCTACCCCGAGGTCCTGGGATCTCTGTTTTCTCATACTGGAGAATTTGTTTTTCTGGGGACCCGCAGAAGCCTTTGGGATAATCCTGGTGGTTGCCCTCTTCCTGGTACCATACTGTCTCTTCTTGAGTCACTCCCCAGACTTCTAATGTACAGCCTTCTCCACACTGGGGAGTTTTCATTTCCTGATCCTGCGGAGCTTGCTTCTTCTGGCACTGAAGACTCTTTCCTCCTTGACTGTGAGGAACCCCTTTGTCTTCACCTTGAGATGTGTCTCCTTTATAGCCCTGGGGAGACTGCCCACTCCGACCCTGTGGTGGTTTCTCTCCCTGACCCTGAGGAGAGTCTGTTATCTGCAGTAGCTGAGATTCAGCTTCCCCCAGGCTCTGGTCAGAGCCCTTGGAGGAATCTTGTGCAGCCAAGTCTTGGGAGGCCAGGTCAGAGGGCTCTGGGGCTCCCTGGGTGAGCTTTCTCCCCTTTGGGCTCCTGGATGTCTGTCCATGGGAGCTCTGGATGGTTGGTTCTGCTTGGCTCCTTTCTTCCCCCTGGGCCGGGTCCTAGGAAGAAAGAACACCCTGGGTCCAAGTGTGTGAGGGAGCCCCCATGGCAGGGCCTTTCCCACAGGGAAGCCTGTACATATTCCATATCACCACCACCACCACTACCCACCTGGGCCTTGCCTGATTCCTGTGTGTGCTAAGCCCATTTTATGTGGTGTAAAAATGCCTCAGCAATGGTCCCTTCCACCTGGCTAGGGGAGGCAGACTCCATCCAGCTGTCCCCAGCCTGAGAGAGCCTTTGCCCATGACCTTTGACCCTTTCACCTTAAGTTTTGAGTTTCCTGGCTCCTTGAAGCTACTGCTGATGGTTGGACTCAGCTCTTCTAAACAACCTGGAGAAAAGCTGGTGTTGACAGGTGTCTAGCCCCTTATACACCTTCACCAGAACTGGGATAAAGATGCCTAGGGGGCCCCTCTGCATGGGAAGAAAGAATCCTAGGGCACTGCTTGAGCTGCTT